TACAGTGATTGCATTTCCCTTACTTTTCCAACCTTTTCAGTGTATTATAATTTTAGGGGTAAGCATAAAAAAAAGAAAAATCTGCAAATGCTTCATGTATTCACATATAATAAAACAGCAGAGTAAGAGCGACCTAGCATTACTGCAAATTGCTTTAAAAAAACCCTATCAGAATATATACATAATGAACTAAATAAAAACTAAATGTTATTAGCAAGTTTCTAGTGAGGATGACTCTGAATAGCATAAGGGAAAGGAAAATTTTAATAAAAACTAAGATAACACATGATATCTCATGCCTCTAGCATGGCTAAACATATGGGCCAAGACAGACCTGCTCTTACATGTGAAATACTAAAAAAAAAAAAAAAAAAGTTACCATCCTCTGCTGAAGTTAGTATTTCCTTTAGTAACATAATTCACATGGTGGCACTTTACCCTAACCTGGCTAATACTGCACTCTAGCAGATTAAGGACAGTTGCTTGGTTTGTTCCTAAGCAGCATTGCAGGAGCAGTAATCTCTTAGGAGAGAGAGAGGAAAGCAGCATCTGGAAACAGGTCTGTTAGCTCAGAGCTGAATTTTAGTAACAACTCCTGTGGTAGGGGAAAAAAAGAACAGGAACTAGACAACATCAGATTAAATTCACAGTATTAAATTTAATTCTTTCACATCTCAAACGATAGTTTAGAAAGTTCCTTTAGGAAAAACAAGCAAGCAAGGGTGCCAAGACATTTCTCTTAAGAAAAAAATCAGAATGTTGTTCAGGTACTTACATCTTTGTTTTCGAGAATTTCCTGCTTGGCCTCAGGTTCAACTTCAACCAGTTCAGCTTCCTCTCCCAGGGCACCAAAGTCTGGCCCACCCATTGGAAGAGGCTCCAAACTCTAAAAGCATAAAAGAAAACTGCGTTTAATATGGTATGCGGATTTGTGATTTATGCCTTTTGCAAAGGAAAAAAACTATGGTTCTTGACACTGTGCTCATCAGATCCTAAGGGAAAAGAAGCAAAAGAGAAGAACTAAAATAAGGGGAATTACCAGCACGCTTGTCACCTACCTGCTTGCTGAAATCTTTAATGAAAGCTGAATAGCTTCCATGTCGAATGAGTTCTCCAAAATACTCTGCACTCTTCCAAAAATAACCTTATTTTTAAGGCATGCTTCCTGTGTTAAAGATGAATTCTACCTTCTTAAACAAACAAACAAATCTAAAGCATCAGGGTGTCACTACTTAGTTTGGTGTTTTGGGAGGGAGAGGAGCATGAATGTTGAACAATTAAAAAAGAAAAAAAAGGTGTTTTCAGCACGTTACTTTGCTTTACATATATTTATATTTTATATTTTTATATTTTAATATTTCTTCTAAAAGTAACCTTCCAAGTAATGCTCAAGAACCTCAGGCCCTATCCATCAGAAGTGAACATTTTAATGAAAAAGGTTTCCAGCACAGCGTGGCTTTATTTACTATACCTGAAAGAATCCTAAAATAAGACTTATCAGAAGATAATGGATTCAAGCATGAATAGAGGGTTATCTGCAAAAGCAGAGGTCAGGATTGGATAACTCAGTAAATCTACTTTTAGTCTTAAGTTACTAATACAGTACTTGCTGCATTATTTAAGGATAGCTGTTTTGCTGGAATAGTAAATTGCTGTTACATATCAGAATCAAGTTAAATGAAGACTGAATCTCACTTCCAATAATTTTCAGCCAAGCATGAAACACTCTGCATCCACACAATATTGTATACCACTTTATACTACAGATGTATACAAAACCAAGAACACACAAAAAAATTTGAAAGGGAAATTAAATTAGTCATGGTAATTAGATACTCTGGAGCCCTAACAGCCCCCTGCAACTGTTCCTCAGTCTAATTAAACACTATGTAAAAGCCTGCTGGTTTTCAACAGGCTCACAGAAAAGAGGTATTCTACCTGGCACCTTGAGGAATCATCCAGACCATTCTTAGCCCCCAAATAAGTCAGTCACTCATTAATCATACCTGAATTACCTACATCGCAGTTTTAAACACCCCTATGCAGGCTCCCCGCGGTTGCTTTAAGGGGAAAGTAATTTAAGCTAAATTCACAAGGTGTTTTACCAAATGAACTTAACATTTGCTCTGTGATTCCTTTGCTTTACAGTCAACAGCACCACCAACCTTTTCTGTGTTACACTGATATTCTTAGAGCTTGACTTTCTCATAACCTGCCTCGCACGGCTCTTAGCGCTTCTCCACAGAGCGGACCGCTGCTCTAGAATATCCTGAGAGGTGCTTCTCCAACGAAGCCTTGAGGCACGGAGAATTCACCGCCTTCCTAAAGTATCTCAGACCCTACGCATCCTTATTCTTTGAAATTATTTCCTGAGGGTTAAGCCAGGCTTCCTCCCGTTGCCATTACAACCGCTGCTTCTTTCTCCTACCGCGACAGAAACCAAACGCTCCTTCTTTAAGCAAACAGCTCTCCGGGTTTGGAGAGCGATGCGTTTGTTCACCGAGACCTGCTGCTCGCCGTCCCCGTCCCCGTCCCCCCCCCCCGGCGCTTACCCGTGCGTGCACGGTGCCCATGGCGAGAAAAGCGGCGGCGGCCGTGAGGGGCCGTGAGGGGCTCAAGGCCGCGGTCCGGCAGCTGCCATGACAGGAAGCCCCACCCCGGTTGCCATTGGGCCGGGGGAGAGGGAAGAGGCGGGGCGAAGCGTGCGTGGCCCGGATGTTTCCCGCCGGCGGGCAGGAAGGAGAGGGCGGGGCTGCCGTGAGGTGAGACAGGCGTCATCGGAAACGGACGCCGGGATTTGGGACGTTTTACGGGGTTTCGAACAGTTATTTAGCGCTTGGTGCCTACGCCGTGCTGAATTACTGCGTTTTAACTAAGCGAGAGGACGGGGAGGGTTGGAGCGTCCTCTGGTTTTGGAATTGCTTCTGTTTAAATACAGAAAGTTATTTGTGAAGTAATGGATGGCAGACGAAGGAGGGTTGGGAGGCCGGGTGACATCCAGGTCCAGCTGCAGCACGAACAAGCGACTCTCGAGAGCAGTAACCAAAGTCGCTGCTCTTAAAAAAAGACGCCTCGCAACCATTGAATCTTAAACGTTCAGTGAAATGAACGCATTGAATATTTGAGTTATACTCAAAAAAGCTTAGAAAACATGGAAGAGACTGTCTTTTTATTTTAGAAAAAGGAGACAGAGCTGGAGCTGTGCACAACAGAAGAAGTGGTCAAGGTTGATTTAAATGTAGTTAATAGAACTATTCCAGTACACAGGAAGCAAAACTCGGCATTCCTGCTTAAATTCTAACGCCTACTGGTAAAACTAAGATTTTTAACTAACATTATGAAATTAAATTCTAGAAACTTTACAATTTTAAATGAAGACAATATAAACCAGATCTTGTATCTTTTAATTGTAGTGAGAGGAACATTTCCAACCTTTGCAAAGTTGAAGAAACATACACAGAAGAAACAAACAAGAGAGTTGAAGTAAAATAGCACCAGTCTTCCGTAGCATGGAAATGGATAGCTTGACACTTTCTCCCCTGTCCCCCACCATTCTAAAATCAATTTTAATGTTGTAAAATTCAGCACTTCAAGCTTAGGGAAATCACAGCTGAGAAACTGCTTAAAGGCTGGTCCAATTCAGAAATGCTACATTTTGCTATTTGACAGCCTTCTGGATACCACAGTTCACACTCACAAACTTCCCTCTCCTGAGCATCACAACCTAATCACTGCTTCTCCTTGTACAAGATGCTCTCAGTAAGCATCTATAGTCTCTTCCCTGGGCTGCACCCGAGTTGCATAAATGAGAAGCTCTCAAATGTCACACGCCTGCACCCAAACACGTGCAAACTCAACTTTAAAGCCATCGTTATTTCCTTCTATTTTAAAAAAATTGTACAAGTCATGATAACAAAACACCAGAAGAGTAGATAATCTTAACAGTTATTTACTTCTCCTGATGTAGTCATACACTAATGCGTTGCCTTTATTAAAATTATGCAGAACCTTTGTAGCGGAAAGTGTTTTAAAACGCTCGTCGTTCAATACAGACAGGATTTGGCAGACTTTCAACCCATTATTTGAGACCTTTGCGCAGCCTCCTGGATATTGACACTTCCACTAAGTCTTACACATTTGCTGCTTCTAACAATCAGTCTTGGAAAACTTCCTTTAGGTTATCATACCTCACTGAGACAGGAGGGACCCCTTTTTTCTTCCCTCCTTTAGCAAGAGGGAAGCAAAAGAAGGGAAGAAAAATCTCTCAAGATGAAGCGGGGAAAAAAAAAAAAAAATCGAGACTGATTGGGCAGCAATTAGAGAGAAGACCTCAACATCATTCACTACTTGCTATATGTTGATTTACTTCTGTAAAGTTTAACGCCTTCTAAAATTACTGTTTGCTACTAATCACAGTCACTATTTTACCTACTTTTCAATACTTAATCAAGTATTAAGCCCTTATTAAGTACAAAAAAAAAAAACAAGTCCTGTGAAATCACTGAAACTGTACCTGTTTACACTTCAGGGGAATGTGCCCCATTTCTTATGTCTTTTTCCCTTGAAGCATTTGAAGGGGGAAAAGAGCCATAGAGGAGAAGTAATATCAACTGTGGAATACATACAACAACCTAGAATAATACTGTTCCTACAGTATCTCGTGCAGACAACTTTTTGATAAACACAACAGTATGTTTAAACATAAGGCAAACAGACAGTGGAGGCCACTAAAAAGCTCATTTGTGTGTTTCCCTTTATGAAGTGAAGTCCAATTTCATTTAAGTGCTATAAAAGTAATCCTAACACATAATACGGTTAAAAATTATGTTTTTAAAAAGCTGTTGTTATCAATGCTTGTTTGTCTAACAATCTGTTTACAGAATTTACATTTTTATGCTGAAAGTAGATTTTTAAAAATAATTATTTCCAGAGAGACACTGTTTACTACAAGTCTTACTACAGTCAATTGAGTGGTGCCTTGACAGAATTGTAGTCTGTTACTAGTGTAGCAGCCACTGTTTTTATAATCCTTAAAACAGTAGAGTTCCCAAGGCAGATTTTTCAGGAAGCTGTAAACAAATTATTTTCCAAGACTTATTGGCAATAAAGAAAGTGATCTTTAGTCCTTTAGGATTTAAATTTGTCTGCCAAACTGGAATATTGGAAACTTTGGAATCTACTTCCAAATTAATACTCTGGAGCAGTTTGGAAACTTGTCTCTGAGGAAGAGTCAAAATCTATTTCCAACCCAGTCTCATCAGAATTTGGGAGAAAATTAGGATAGGAGTTTAAGTCTGAACGCTCCTGCATATTAGCAGAAGCATTTTTCATAGCTGAGTGCATGAAGCATGAAGGTTCCCAGAGCCGGGTTTCAAGGTCCGCAGAAGAGTGAGGCATTTTAAGGTGGCAGTATGAAGAATGAAATTCCATAGTAGGTGGGACAGTTTGACATTTTCTTAGTGATGCATAATTGTCTTTCCTGTTTAAAAAAAAAAAAGAAAAAAGAAAGAGATTATTAGTGTTTCAATGACGTTTCTATTACTGTTCGGATGTCTGACAGGGAAACTTCATACAAGGAAGAACACTAGAGGAAAATAGTTAATTCTAAATGCATTTAGTGAGTTAGGGTATGGAACAACAGGAAAAGGATCTTGAAACAATCACATCTAAAAGAGGGGCAGTCTACCATTACGTGTTGTCCTCAGAAACAGATATACAACAGTTACATTAGAAGTCACACCTTTCTGATGAGCTCAGAGGGGCAGACCCAAGTTTGTACATTACCTCTTAAATAGTCCTGATGTCCCCCCAGCTATCCACTTGGAATATTTGCTGATTTATGAATCACAGCACTAACTGAACATTAACGGGAATAGCCTCAACATTTACAAGTTGAGTAGAAAATACAGTGGTTCAACTTCCCAAATGTCATCTCTGCGTTCCACTTGATAACCAGCTAATTATCACCAACCTGAACAGCTGGAACAGAACTTCCTTACGCTCTAAAACAGCACCTGAATCACCAGGTTAGCCTTTTCCAGTCTGAGAAACAGGAAACCGAAGTTGTCACCAAGAATACCCAGTTTTGTCTTTAAAGTTCTCCCTCCTCTCTTGCAGAGCTTTTGGGAAAAAACCCAAAACAACCCATAATGCCCCCCACTCACACACAAAAAAACCCAATTTGCCATACACATGCTTCAACACCAGTTTCCATACCTGAAGTTTAGGTGCACTAGAAGATACCATCCACCAGGTTAAGTTTCCTAAAAGGATTTTCAAACTGTAAACAGTGCAAATTTTCATGAAATTTAAGTTTGATTCCAAAACAGAAGCTAGATCTGATGACACAAGGGGAAGAGCATAAAAAAAGGGGGGGGAGGTGGATTACTTTCTGTAAAAGCAGCAGTAAGGTCTTGGCGGATGCTGAAACAAGGCACAAGCCCACAGTCACCTGTAGAATACAAAACAGGATTCTACACACAGAGCCTTGGGACCTAGCTACCAGAAGAGGGAATCCACTTAAAGGAAGGCTTCAGAAAACTTAAGACTTTTGACAGTGTAAACAGTTCAGTGGGAGCTGATCACCCTGAAGTTATCATAAAAGCATACAGCAAAAGCCACCCGACCACCACGTTCTGCTTTATGGCCAAGAGCTTGCTCTTTCCAAAAGAAGAGAAACAATGTTCCTGGTTAATCAGGACTCAATGACCAAACAACCCCTCTGAGAAGTTAGATCTGAGACAGTCTTCTAATATTGTGCCTTCCAAATGCCCATTTCAGATGAAGAGCCTCACGATTGGTAAGGCTGGAATACGAACAACGTCAAGAAGCTGCTAAATAAGGCCAAAAGCAGGAAGATGACTATACCGAAATTTATTGTGGAAAGGAGTCAGAATATCATTAAGAAGGAAAAAAGGACAATGGATTACATGTGGTATCAAATAACTGGGGAGATGATAGTAGGACAATAGCAAATATATATACCAAGAACTACATTTCTCCTCAGAGAGATGGTCTGAAAAGCCAACTAGTGTTATACAAAAAAAGGCTTTAACTGATTTCAGAAAGGGAGAAGAGAGGCTATTTGTACACAGGAATTAAATGCTTCTGAATTCTGGATAAAACTGAATATTGTAAAAATAACACATCTTTACAACCTAATATTAGAGCCACCATTTAATACTTCCAAAGGGGGAAGGAAACACAAGCTTCAACCTCATGAAGTTTTCCATTAAGCCAGAACTTTTAACAGTAAGTTTGACTACTAGTCTTCTAAGGGATGGAGCGTATGAATCGGATCTTTCACGATGCCAATTCAGATCTTGGCAAAGCTTCTTATAAGGAAGTAGGATCAAGCAGTTCTTCTCAGACATATCAAACCTGCACTTCTGATGGGTCAGTGTGTAGCATTGTCAGGGCACAAAAGAGCATCTTTGATTTTGCTCCTTATCTAACTTTATTACTAAAACCAGGAAGACAAAAGCTCAAGAAATCTTGGCTCGAATAAAAGCATATTTTTCATTTTAATTTTAAAATGTGCTGTATATAGAAAATGGCAATGCTTTAATTGAAATAACTGCTGCAGTTAGGAGTCTCCAGTGCTACAGCTATCTCTTGGAAGCTTTTATGAAGCATTTAAGAATTCTGTTCACTCCTAAGAGCTTTTTGGGCTAATTTCTCTCTCCCTTCTTCTACCTCCTACCTAGCAACTCCAGAAGTTGAGACAATCATCAGAAAAACAGAAATTATCTATTCTGCTGAAGTGTGGATTCATGCTTTTTCAGACCAAATCTTAGGAGACTTCATATTTATAAGCATTTGGACCTCAGAGAGAGCCTATGTTTCTCTGCTTATAGCACTATTCTGACATGGCCTCAGCAACAAGTCCATTTTTTAGCACGAAAGTAGAAGCTGAATATTGGTCATATTCACTTTGTGAAAGTTTGCAGAGCTCCTTGGGCAAATACTACACTCCCCAGCAAAAGGTGAAACACTAACGGTATTCTTAGATTGATACTGAGAGGTGAGTTGTCACCGATTCCTCCATACATATAGTGCTACAAAGTTTAACAGAAGTAAAAACTCTGAAAGGCTAAGTCTTACACCAGTTTGCTAAGAGAAGCATAATGAACCTAGTTACAACCAGGTTAGAATAGAGGTTTCTCTTCCACGGAAATAGAAGGTCCTAAAAATTCTCCGTATGCGTCTTATTTTAATTCTTCCGAACTATCTTACAAGACTGTCCTTCATATTCATCTACCTTTTAACTCTTAAACCTTTCCTGTCCAGACTCCTAAGAATCTAGTCTTTCTCCCAGTGTTTTCCAGTTCCTACCTGCTACATCTGATTTAAAACATCTTGAGCAACCTTTTTCTCCTCTTCCTGATTGCTCCAGCTACTGTGGAGAAGAGAAGAAACGAGGTCTCTGTTCTCAGTCCAATGTCTGCTCCATAACCCACCCTTCTCCCCAAAAAGCTTACCAACAGACAACATGATTGTCTCAACTCCTCTTCATCTACAATATGTAGCAGTCATTGATCAGTTATAAACAAGAAGCACCAGAAAATATACTTAAGAAACAATGCTAAGGATTAGAGGTGGCGAGAACTGTTTTGTGTTACCTTTAAGAAAATTATGAAATCCTGTTTTAAGAGAGAAACTTAGTAGTACTTGAAGCTCTGACAAAAGAGAGAATTTCTAAAAATGCATCATTTGCATGCAGCAGCACTCCACTTTACCTGGACATAGAGAACAGCTTGCTTTTAGCCTGGGAATAAACTGTACCAGCAATCCGACAAAGCTGTTCTTGCATCCATCGAACATCAGCAGGCATGTCAGGAAACCAGTTTACTAACCTACAATCAAAACCAAAATACAATTGTTGTTTCATAAGCAGTAGATCCAATCTGCATTGTATTCTTACAATGTCCAACATCCAACGAAATAACACAGCTTTCATTCTCCCCAAGTTAACTCCCCCACCAAAGTCTCCAGGTCTTCCTAACCTCTCAAATTTCCATCTCTTACCACTCATTGCTTTTCTATAAGCTAGGACAAAGGGCAGCACAGACCACTGCATCTCTGATCTATGCTGAGCGGCTGACCAGTATGTGCATTCCACACCTCGTGACCAACATTTAGGAAGCCTGCAAAAAATTCCTGTCTCTGAGATCTCGTTCTGTGTGGTAGGAACTTTCTGGTCAGTTTGAAGTTAGGTGGGAGAGCAAGGAAGAACAAAAGAAAAGCACAATGGAAGAACAAATAGAAGGCGGAAACAGAACAATGCCACAAATGTTGTTGTTTTTTTTTTCCTTATGATGGTCTTAACAGAAGTCAGTTACACCGGAGGGAGATGAGGGGAAAAAACATATTAAAATTCTGTTGAAACTTGCTTCTTCCCCATCCACCAAAAAATGGCACAGAAGTGCCACGTGAAGTGGCACAGAAACGAAATATTTTACTGGAGTTCTGCATGGTTCCATTTATAGAACATTTGATTTTTCAAGTATTTGCTAAAGATAGTAATGACATCTGCTGTTCAAGGACTGGAATTCTCTTAAGCAAGCACAAAGCTTAGGGTTCATGGTGCATTCATTTAGCATAATTTCTCCTTCATGAGATTTGAAGAACTTATAAGATTAAGCTCTGTTTCAAGAGCACAACTTCCAGTCAATCTAAACAAACCTGGTAAGAAAATTTACATGGTAAGTAAACACTGGACTTCACTCCTGGCTTCAGAAAGAAGCTAAAGCACAAGAACTATCTGGATAGAGTTCAAATATCACTGCAGAATATAGTAATAGTAATAAAGAATGTGCTCCTGGAAAACACAATTGAAGGTGCTTCTTTCGAGCAATTACAAGACAGCTATTAGTAATAAGAGTAAGTTGCTTAGAAATCTTCTTAATATGTTTATTTATCTAGTCTTAGACTATAGAGGCCTTAGGAAGATGCATTATGTAGGTAGAAATAATGGTGTTTGGACAGTTACCACTTGTATTCTAGAGTACCAGAATACCTACAACACTGAATAAGTTCTCAATAAGTAAATTTCCGAAAGTGTAGTAATTCTAAAATGGTTCATTAAAAGTTCCTTACCGTAAAGCAACAGAGTAAGCGGACTCCACTGGTAGCGTATATGGTAGCATCAGATAGGATATCACCCGCATTGGGAAGAGTTTAGAGAACTGAGCGTAGAATCCATTCTGTTCTTTACAAGCTTCTTGCAGTGCTTAAGAATAATTATTTTTGAAAAAGATGTTAGACTATTTGAAACAGTTTAAGTAATTTGCTCAAAGTTTGGTAATCTTCAGTCAACATTATCAAGTGTTACTGAATAAGGCTCAGATAGAAAATGAAAGAATTCATCTCAAGGCACTCTTACCATAAACCTTCTCTACGCTATTTTAAAATATGGGAAGCACAGACTCATACCACAGGGACAAAAGGCATTACCCAGAACTTTTAAGCAATAAGTCTAAGAATTAATTTATAATAAGAGGATGTAAAGTTCACCTCTCCAAAAATACTTATATGTTTTAGGTAACATTCCTGTCTTGTTAGAAACTCTGTAACTCTAAGGAGTTTGTTTAAATACTAGAGTTCCACATATTCCAGTTGTTACATGTAGTGGTAAGAAATATCACACTTCAAATTTTGTACTCCTAGGTCACTGGGATCACAAATTTCAGATCTTGAAAATACCCATCAGCATCCACAAAAAAACCTAGGTAAAAGTTATAGACTAATGAAATATCAGAAGTGGTTTTGGTCTATTAACAGCTTATTAAAAAGACAGGAAAGCGAGAGAATTAGAAGTCTACAGAAGTCTGTTTTAAAAATAAGATGGGGATAACCAGTGTTTGGATTTGAGGTTCAACTTTGGTGTGAAATATATGCTTACAAAAATACTGTGCACATACAAAGTTTATCCAAAACCAAATGAGAATTCAATTCACGACTCTGCAGTGTTGAAAGCAGCTCATTCCTCCTGCTTCAATCTTATTTCTGTAGCTAAACCAAAATGTACATGTTCACATTTAGTAAGTATTTAAAGAACTTTTTTGGGTTGAGATAGTCTCTAATTTTACAGGCAGTTATAAGATTGAATAGAAAGCATCTTATGCAAATTGTAAGAGTAAGCAGGGGAAAAAAATAAATCAAAGTTTGCCATTCAAAGTTACAGGAAACAGTCTGAAGAATGTACCTTTACGAAGTCTAGGAGGTAGACTCTCAAATATGCTCTTCTCCAAAGGCCATGGATTTTGCTTCAGCTGGTCATTAAGTACTTCCATTTTCAAAGTTTCTATTGTGTTATTTTCTGTCATTTTTTTTTTCTTCATATGGTCAACATGTTGTGCAACCTCATGAGGATTTCTTTTTGTGAGGGACAAGTGGATATAGATTGAGTCATTCAGAATACCTGGAAGAGTCAAAAGCTTCCACTTAGGCTTGTTCCACAGGTCTTCAGAGTACCTGTACAGTACCTGTAGTCTCGGTATCTGTACAAAGGCCTATCCTGAGGAAACGTTATCTACCCCATGTCAAATACACTTGCTCTTATAATCCCACAAATGTTTAATCACACTGATGAATACTCTTTTGAAGGTTTAGGTCTTACTTTAAAACAGGTTCTGAAGAAAAGGAAAAAGTAAACGATTAACTGAAACTGCACTGGAAACATATAGTCATTTACCAAAGTTGTTTCCCAGCAAGAAAGCAAATGATTTAAAGGAGAGAGAGAGAGAGCAAATGATTTAAAGGAGAGGAGGAAAACTGATTTATATTTACTTGAAAGAAAACACCTACACCACATCAGACATTTGGAAAATTTGACATGGCAGGTATCACGTGAGTACTCTGAGGCATTGTTACAACAGGGTGGAGAAGGAAAGCAAGCAGGGTATTGTTTTAAGATATATACAAAGTACAGATCTAAATCAACATTGGTTGCCTTGCAAAACTGGTGCCGATTAAGAAATAGCACTGATAATTACCTTAGAAACAAGCACTAGATAATGAGCAGAAAGTGAAAAAATACAAGGAGGGTATTTATATTCATTTTCCAGAAAATCATTACA